ATTTGCCAAGGCTGCCATATTTGATTATCTTATCTTTTGAATCATGAATTTCCCAACCTGCTTCTACCGTGTATGGTTCAACTAAGAAATAAAAACTTCCCTTTACTTGAATTACTTCAGTGGAATCTGTTTCTTCTGAAATCAGAGATTTATCAAGTTTAAGTAATGGCGGTTGATATGTCTCTTCATAAAACATGTAAGAAAGTGTGATAGACTTTCCTGGTTGGATATACTTGTTGAGCCATGAGAATGAGATCCATTGAATTTCAGGAAATCCAGAGTCGTATTCTAAAATTTTCTCATTGTTCGTGAAGAATCTTGGCTCAGGTTCTATTCCAAAGTCTTGGGCACTGATATCTGTAACCCAAGGATGATTTTGCAGAACTAGTGTCAGATCATTTGTTTGATCCCACCAAAGATAATAACCAAAGTTTGTAAGGGATGATGCTTCAACATTATCTATAGAATCTTTTAAATTCAATGCTGTGCAAAGGTCAATTTTCTTTTCCGTTGAGCCTTTGTTGGTAATTGTCTGTGAAATAATAACATAATCTGAATTTTCATCATTATAAATTTCAACGGAGTAGCCTAAATCAGTGGCTTCTTTAATGTTTTTTGTAACACCATCTATTCTGACTTTTGTATAAGGTTCTTTAATTATTTCATAATTCTCCCTTCCGTCCTTATCATAAATCATGTACGAATTATCCCCAACAACTTTGCCTGAAACTGAAAGAGAAAGTTGTGCAAGTAATATGGAAAACATTTAAAAAATGGTAAAATGATTTTATAAAAGTATTCAAATATAAATATTTCAGAAACATTTTGAGTCGTTTTTCAAAGTCATCTATACATATGAATCGATAATATTTCATATTATTATACCTTATGATTGATTTTCTATAGTTATAATCACCTTGTATAATGTCAAGATGATCCTCTCAATTTTTTGTGAAAAAATAAAAAAATAAAAAAGCTATAAAATTGAAAGTTCTTTGCCCAATGTCAGTTCAAATAAAAAATGCTCAATTTGATTTAATAACTAAAAATAATAGATGCAAATCTGAATGACTACTTATTATCTGTGTCAAATTTAATGATTGAGTTTATTTATTCATTCGAAAATTCCAGTTCAATATATAATTTTAAAAATTTCACATTAATTATGTATGTCAGAAATTTTGAAATAATCTGACATTCTACTTCTTGTCATTTATTTTTAGCCATGAAAATTGAACTATAATTCCTGTATATACACATCCATATGTCATTATATATGATGACCCTTGATTAATGTCAAGCAAAAAACGAATAAATCTGATGAGTAATGAGACAAAATAACTTTTTTTAGCTGGCAGATTTTTTATAGTAACAAACGGAGTCATTATTCATTCTCCTTTATTTTTGAGATGGGAAGATATCATTGCAGCATTATTATACTCATCAAATTGGTTAACTTATGTTATGGGATCATTTGAAAAAAATTTATTAGTAATGTTTATAATTAGATGCTTCATTTATAAAAAAGCTTGTCTTGTTCTATGATCTTTATTCCAAGTTGGCAATTAAGATTTAGTTGCACAACAAGAATTTCACATGAAAAACAATCCTAGATTGAGTAATTTCAACTTGTTGAAAGATAATTTATAAGTAATTTTAAAAAGTGTGTTTAAAGCATAAAATTTAATTTATTCTCCGAATTTTTTTATTTTCTCAGCCAAAGAATAATAACGACTACCGCAACAACAACAGCAATGACAGCTAAGACACAGAGAACTGCAACAAGGGCGGTCTTCTTTTTAGCTTCCTTTGTAGCAATCTTTCCTGTTGCAGAATCACTTGCGATAACATCTTGATAGATGTTGATATTTGTTAATTTTTCAGAGGATTCGGTTGGTGTTGTGACTACGATCTTGATTTCGGCTGTTGTGTTTGTTTCTGTTGTTGGGATGGTGAAATCAAGTGGAACTCTGACTAATCCTGCATCGTTAGTTGATGTGATCGTCTTCTTGACTTTATCGTTGTAGAACAGAGAAACAGTGAACTTGTTATCGAAGTTTGTATCTGGATCATTGATGACAGCTGTGAAGTTGACCTTGTCGCCTTTGTTGTATGTGGCATTAAGTTTTGGTTCGAAATAGATTGTGAGAACTGTGTTATTCTTGATTGTGATTGTGAACTTCTTTGTTCCAATCTTCTTGCCATCTGTAGCTGTGACTTTGACTTCATATTCACCTGCTGCTGTGTCTTTTGGAACTTTGAATTTGAATGTCTTAAGATCTTTGCTGTTTGCAACTTCTTGTGTTGCAACTTCTGCATTGTTGAAGAAAACCTTTGCTGTGAGTGGTTTATCACCTGAATCTTGATCGTAGACTGAAGCCAAGAAAGAAACTTCAGAATCTGGAATGTAATATAGGTATTCAGATGGAACAATGTATAACTTTGGTCTATAATTTGGTGGAACAACTGTAATTGTGAATTCTTCATAAAGCAATGAGCCAAGACCATTAGTATATGTGTAAACATATAATGTGTACTTTCCAAGTTCTGTTGGTGGTGTGATTGACACATCAAAATCCATACTTGTTTGTTTTTCTGAAACTGTAAATTTGCCAAGGCTGCCATATTTGATTATCTTATCTTTTGAATCATGAATTTCCCAACCTGCTTCTACCGTGTATGGTTCAACTAAGAAATAAAAACTTCCCTTTACTTGAATTACTTCAGTGGAATCTGTTTCTTCTGAAATCAGAGATTTATCAAGTTTAAGTAATGGCGGTTGATATGTCTCTTCATAAAACATGTAAGAAAGTGTGATAGACTTTCCTGGTTGGATATACTTGTTGAGCCATGAGAATGAGATCCATTGAATTTCAGGAAATCCAGAGTCGTATTCTAAAATTTTCTCATTGTTCGTGAAGAATCTTGGCTCAGGTTCTATTCCAAAGTCTTGGGCACTGATATCTGTAACCCAAGGATGATTTTGCAGAACTAGTGTCAGATCATTTGTTTGATCCCACCAAAGATAATAACCAAAGTTTGTAAGGGATGATGCTTCAACATTATCTATAGAATCTTTTAAATTCAATGCTGTGCAAAGGTCAATTTTCTTTTCCGTTGAGCCTTTGTTGGTAATTGTCTGTGAAATAATAACATAATCTGAATTTTCATCATTATAAATTTCAACGGAGTAGCCTAAATCAGTGGCTTCTTTAATGTTTTTTGTAACACCATCTATTCTGACTTTTGTATAAGGTTCTTTAATTATTTCATAATTCTCCCTTCCGTCCTTATCATAAATCATGTACGAATTATCCCCAACAACTTTGCCTGAAACTGAAAGAGAAAGTTGTGCAAGTAATATGGAAAACATTTAAAAAAATGGTAAAATGATTTTATAAAAGTATTCAAATATAAATATTTCAGAAACATTTTGAGTCGTTTTTCAAAGTCATCTATACATATGAATCGATAATATTTCATATTATTATACCTTATGATTGATTTTCTATAGTTATAATCACCTTGTATAATGTCAAGATGATCCTCTCAATTTTTTGTGAAAAAATAAAAAATAAAAAAGCTATAAAATTGAAAGTTCTTTGCCCAATGTCAGTTCAAATAAAAAATGCTCAATTTGATTTAATAACTAAAAATAATAGATGCAAATCTGAATGACTACTTATTATCTGTGTCAAATTTAATGATTGAGTTTATTTATTCATTCGAAAATTCCAGTTCAATATATAATTTTAAAAATTTCACATTAATTATGTATGTCAGAAATTTTGAAATAATCTGACATTCTACTTCTTGTCATTTATTTTTAGCCATGAAAATTGAACTATAATTCCTGTATATACACATCCATATGTCATTATATATTGATGGACCCTTGATGATAATGTCAAGAAAAACGAATAAATCTGATGAGTAATGAGACAAAATAACTGTTTTTTTAGCTGGCAGATTTTTTATAGTAACAAACGGGAGTCATTATTCATTCTCCTTTATTTTTGAGATGGGAAGATATCATTGCAGCATTATATACTCATCAATTGGTAACTTATGTTATGGGATCATTTGAAAAAAAATTTATTAGTAATGTTTATTAATTAGATGCTTCATTTATAAAAAAGCTTGTCTTGTTCTATGATCTTTATTCCAAGTTGGCAATTAAGATTTAGTTGCACAACAAGAATTTCACATGAAAAACAATCCTAGATTGAGTAATTTCAACTTGTTGAAAGATAATTTATAAGTAATTTTAAAAAGTGTGTTTAAAGCATAAAATTTAATTTATTCTCCGAATTTTTTTATTTTCTCAGCCAAAGAATAATAACGACTACCGCAACAACAACAGCAATGACAGCTAAGACACAGAGAACTGCAACAAGGGCGGTCTTCTTTTTAGCTTCCTTTGTAGCAATCTTTCCTGTTGCAGAATCACTTGCGATAACATCTTGATAGATGTTGATATTTGTTAATTTTTCAGAGGATTCGGTTGGTGTTGTGACTACGATCTTGATTTCGGCTGTTGTGTTTGTTTCTGTTGTTGGGATGGTGAAATCAAGTGGAACTCTGACTAATCCTGCATCGTTAGTTGATGTGATCGTCTTCTTGACTTTATCGTTGTAGAAACAGTGAACTTGTTATCGAAGTTTGTATCTGGATCATTGATGACAGCTGTGAAGTTGACCTTGTCGCCTTTGTTGTATGTGGCAGTTAAGTTTGTACTGTGTTTCTTGATTGTGATTGTGAACTTCTTTGTTCCAATCTTCTTGCCATCTGTAGCTGTGACTTTGACTTCATATTCACCTGCTGCTGTGTCTTTTGGAACTTTGAATTTGAATGTCTTAAGATCTGTGCTGTTTGCAACTTCTTGTGTTGCAACTTCTGCATTGTTGAAGAAAACCTTTGCTGTGAGTGGTTTATCACCTGAATCTTGATCGTAGACTGAAGCCAAAAAGAAACTTCAGAATCTGGAATGTAATAAGGTATCAGAGGAAGAACATAAACTTTGGTCTGTATTTGGAGGAACAACTGTAAATGGAATTCTTCATAAAGCAATGATTCAAGATCATAGTATATGTATAAACATATAATGTGTACTTTCCAAGTCCTGTTGGTGGTGTGATGGATACATCGAAGTCCTTACTCTTCATTGATTCTGAAGCTTTGAATTTGCCAAGTGTGATCATATTGATAATTTTATCATTGGAAGTACGAAGTTTCCAGCCAGCTTCTGCATCACAACCATCAACAAGGAATGAGAACTTGCCCTTGATTTGAATTACTTCAGTAGCATCAGTTTCTTCTGGGATTAAAGATTTCTCAAGGAAGAGGAATGGTGGTTCATATTTTCCTTTATGTAATAGATAAGAGAATGTTATTGACTGTCCAGGTTGTATATATTTGTTCAACCATGAAAATGAAACCCATAAAATTGATGGAAGATCATCATCATCATCTACATTTTCTAAAATTTTATCGGTGTTCGTGAAGAATTTAGGCACGTCATCAGAGCCGAAGTCATGGGCATTGACATCAGTAACCCATGGATGATTTTGGAGAACTAATGTAAGATCTGTTATCTCTTTCCACCAAAGGGAATAGCCAAAGTTTGCAAGAGTTTGAGCGATGACTTTTTTATCTTCTGCCTAAATAACATTGCTGTGCAAAAATCTACCTTCTTTTCATTTGACCCTTTATTTTAATTGTCTGCTTTACAACTGTATATAATAAATTTTTGTGATTTTCAATTTGAAGAGAGTAATCTAAATCTGTTACTTTTTCAATATTGCTTTCAACGCCATCAATTCTGACTTTTGTGGTCACATTTTCAACCAATTCTACATGCTTTCTGTTTTGATCAACATCAGTGAATCCGTAGGAGTATTTTCGATTGGAATGGCCAGAAACTGAGAGGGAAAATTGCACCAAGATAATGAAAACATATTTAGAATAATGATTTTATATGTTTTCTTAAGGAGTATTCAAAAATATAAAATAATTCAAAAATAATTGAGTGGATTCAAAAACTGCCAAAGTAATGAGAATCGATAACATTTCCGAGAACTGAACTCTTTAATAAAATTTCAATAGTTTAATCAAGTTATATTGTGTCACGATATGACGCTCAAATTTTAAAATATTTCAGAATTTTGAGAAAGAATAAAAAATTAATAAGCTCTGCCAATGTTATTGGAAGCAAAAACATGCTAGAAGCCTGCAACCTTTTGCATCTTTCCTTTTATAAATTCTATGTCTGTTCTTTGATTCAAATGATTAATATTTTTACGGGGGCGCGTAAAGGGTTGGGCGTCCTAAGGCGTCCTGATGTAAACTATTCAATTTTGAGAAGTTTACACCATAATTGAATAGTTTATGGCGTCCTGAGAGGAGATTTCAATGGGTATGGCGTCCTAAAAAAAATAGAAGAAAATGATTTTTTCTCGATTTTTCTAGAAATTGAATTTTTAAAAAAAGAAAAAAATCAAAACGTATACATTCAAGAAAGACTATAAATGAAGATTTTTCTATTTTTTTCATTCTAAAACATCTTTTTTTGGATAATTTTTTTTTTAATAAATATGTAAGAAAGATTGAAGAAAAAGTAAATTTACTTTAAGAAAATTCGTTTTACATGATGTAAGACCCATAACAACTATAAATATTCAATTATTTAAAATAAAAAAAGAAAAACAGATTAAATGTATCTCACATCAAAATCCATTGACCTAAGGATGTTAAGTTTCTGTTTTTAAAAGTTGATATTTTTTTTTAATTTTAAGAAAATTAATAGCATGTTATTAGACAATAGAGTGTAATGATATTGACTAAAACAGAAATGAGAGAATAGAGATATAATTTTGATAAGCAATATTGCAAACAAATTCTGAAGTAAAATCGCGATCAATAATTGAAAATTACGATCATGTACTGAAAAATGACGATCGAATTGAATGAATAGAATTATATCTAAGAAAAAAAAATTGTATTTAGAAGATGAACAAAGAAAGGTGTATGCTAAAAATCATTTAACAATAAATGGAAATAAAACGAAATTGTTAAAAGAAAAAAAATGAAAATTGTTAAATAATATATTATTTTTTAGTCATAAGAATAAAAATATAGTAGTTATAAAAGGAATTAGACTTCATATATCAATTCTTTTTCTCTGTAGATGTGGAACGTTTGCTTTTCGATCTCTTTCGATGAACTTGAAAATATAAGTTATTATCGCTGAGAATCCTTTCCGAAATAGGAGCTTTACGTTTAGGAGGATTGTCGGATGAATTTTGTTTTTTATTGTTGATTTTGTTGTTATGGAAGATTTTTTCTTATTTTTTTCAGAATTTTGCTTGCTATTAACTGAAACTTGTTTTGACGGCCCAACAATAGCATTTGTAGTAGGAAGAATTCCCAATAACGAGCGCATTTTCGATAATTGTTTTTCAATATGATCAAGAAGGTCCAGCTTATGTTCTAGATTACTAGACATTTGATTTGTAGAAGGATGGTTTTGATTTTCTGGTTCTAAATCTGTAGAGTCTGCAATATTTGAATTTTCGGAGCGAATTGGAGCATCTGAACCTTGATTTGTATCGGCTTGCTCAAAATTAGTTTGAATTGGAGTGGATGAATTAAATCTGGATGATTTAATGTTTCATTAAATAATGCCATAATTTTTTCTCTTTTTCATTAATAAACTTAGTGATCATTGTATCTTTATTTGTTAGATCGATCGATTTGAGTATATCTGCATCATGAACTGGAATATTTTCGAACAATGAACTCGATTCTATGGAACCATATGGAGAAATCTCGTTCTGAGCCAAAGAAAGATCACTTACGTTGTATTGTTTGATAGAAAAATTGTTTTCTCAAGTTCTTTTTGAAAGCAATCAAGAATATAATTTTGTAGCTATCAGTGATAACGGTTTTTATATGGCGCTCGATCTTCTGGTTATTTTTGATGGCGTTATATTTATCTAATTGGATTTGAGATATCTTCTTAATAGCTTCATAAATGTTTGGATGTTTTAACGAAGAAAATTCTGAATGCATACTCTCGAGGCAATCATTAGTGAATATTGCAGTTGCATTATTATATTGAGATATTAAATTGTAGTGCGGCAACCAAACTTTGTTGAAATAATCAATATAATCTTTGATCGAATCAACTTTATTTTGATTAATTATATGCATTGTAAGTACAAATTCTTCATGAGACATGAATGGAGTAATAGAATATAGCTTAAATAAAGAATTTTGTAAAGTATTGAAATTTTTTGTATAAAGTGCTACAAGTTTCCTGTGTAAAGCTTGTTTGAAATGAAATAGGCATCCAATTATACGGACTTTAGGGAAAATTTGTTGAAGTGCCTCTATCATTCCCTTTTCAAAATCACAATGAATTTGAATTAGCTTTGAAAATTGAATACCCTTGACAGTAAAAATATATTCAAATGCCTTCTTATAAGATTCAAATGTGCGGTTTTTCATGAATATAAATAAAAGTGGTAGATATTGATTTGTTGAAGGTTCACAAATCATAATTGTTAGCATCTGTCCTTTTTGAAAATGTTTTGGTGTAATTTTAAAAGTTCCATCGCAAAATAAATATGTGGCTTCTTTTGCAAATTGAATTGCCTTCTCAAAACCAAAAAAAACATCGTCTCACAATTTGCTTGAAAATCATGGCCAATGAAAAACTGCTCGCCATTTATTAAACAAAAATTAGCAATTTCATCGTCTGTAATTTTTTCTCCAACAGAAAATTTTCTGGACTTATTATAAACTTCCCTGACCAATGAATCTTTAATTAATGGGTTTTCATCAGTACCAACAGCAAGTTCTGTCATAAATTTTTTAATCTGCTGAAAAGTGCCGTTGTCTTCAGAAAATTTTGCCATTGCCTTATTGTATATTTCTTTCAGAGTCATTGATTTATGAAGATCATTTTTTTTCATTTTGTAACTTTTTAAATTGTCTGCATTCGGGTATATGTTCCTTTTGTAAATCTTCGGAAACTGAACTGTTCTCAATTTTAACTAAATAACGTGCTTGACAAGAATGATCGATGCAACGGTAGTAACGTTCAATATTATTTGAATTAATAATATTTGTATGATTATGCGAATAAAGCATATCTTTGCGAACAATTGTATCAGGATATTTTCCAGTAACTGCGGGAATATTTTTAACTGCAATATAACTAAAATATCTTCTGACAGCTTTAGATTCATTTTTGGCGTATTTAATATTAAAATATTGAAGAACTTGTTTGATTATATTCGTTTTTTCATCTCTCGATGTTGATTTTTGGTATTTATCAGATTGTTCCCTGATAAATATTTTATTTTCGTCTGTAAAGTTTGCTCTTTTTTGATTAAATATAGATGATTTTCCCATTAAAAAATGAAATGATGCAAAATTTACGAAAACCGTTCGAAAATTGAATCATAAATGAAAAGTAATACTTAAATGAGGAATTCTTTGAGATATTGGTCTTAGATTGAATGTAGCGTCATTCTTATATAGAATATATATTCATATCATCGGAAATATGATAAAAAGCATATAATAAATGTCAAAAAAGTGAACAAATAAGCAAAGATATTTTTTAAAAAACAATGAAAAGTAATACTTAAATGAGGAATTCTTTGAGATATTGGTCTTAGATTGAATGTAGCGTCACAAATTTCACAAATATAATTTACTATACAATTTTATTCATTTTTTTAAAATGGCTGACGACAGTCTGTTAGGGATGCGTTAAACACGCCATTTGATCGGGCGTACATTTTTTTGTTCGCCCAAAAATTTCGCCATTTGAGAAATTCAAAAATTAAAAATAAAATTTTAATCTTGATTTTTTTATTTTCGTGATTTTTTTGAAACTTACATAACCGATGAAATACTTTTTTTAAGTAATCGTTTATTATATATAAATATATCTTAATAAATTTAATTCCTTAAGGTAGAGCGTGTTCAAATTTAAAATCTCATACAATATTTTCTTAATGGCGTATTTTTCTGAGGTCGCCCAAATAAAGGCGAATTCAAAATTGAGAACTCCAAGGCGTATGGCGAGTATTCAAAAAGTACGCCACTTACAAAATATTGAATGTGGATTATCAATTTTTTGGCGTGTTCAATTTCAAATTTTGATATTTATGTTTATTTTATTCAGTATAATGCTAAGAATTAAAATATAAAATTCATAGAATTTTTTCTTTGAAAATATTTTACATTTTTATTAGACCACTCCTAGACTAGTCATCAGGTTATCCTCAGATCATCCTCAGACTACTCCTTATCAGATTACTCATCATCCTCAGACTACTCCTTAGACCCCTCCTCATCAGACTCCTCCTCAGATCTTCCTCCTGAGACTACTCTTCAGACTACTCCTTAG